GACAACAACCTAGAATGGTACTGCATTGATTTTCAAAATATCACTTACGATATGTTGTCAAATGTATTAAATGAGAATATAAAATTAATGTTGTTAAATTCTTGCAAATGAACATAAATCACGAAGCAGGACATTAAATGATGATTTTATGCCAATTGACAAGATAAATGTGTATTACATGTTTAATTCACAATGTCAAAAATTAAGTGACACAATTATCTCTTATTCGACTTGAAAAAAAAATTATACATTATATCTATCTGAAAATTTTGCTAGTTTAAATGCTTTTGTTATTTTGTTATTTAGAAGTATATTTTAAATGTTTGTTATTGATATGTATATTTTAGATTTAAACATATGAATAAAATCGATTTCAAATGTACATGTCACATCGCATAGCGCTACGATGTACAAATACAAGCGTCTGAAAATCTTGATATCTTTTAAAACCCTCACAGTGGGAGTTTCCCTTGCATAATAAAGATAACGGGAAACATTCCTAAATATGATTCTTGCAGTGCAAATTAACCATATTATTATCTAATTTGTTTCGTACTAAAACAAACGTATGTTTAGTAAAACATGCAGGACTGGGCTTAGTATTCATTCGTTCGATCATATAACACCCTTTTAAGTTATTTATTTAATGTTTAATTGTTATGTCTCAAACAGATATAAATATACATTGGGAAAATTAGATATGTACAATAAAACTATAACACTGTTTAGGAAATATGCTTTTGCACCGTTTTCATTTATCTTTAAATGATGAATGTATCTTGCTGCATTTAAAAACAGTTGACTTACAATTCGTATTTCCTTTCTATAACCGATAATGATAACGTTTAAACTTATGATGGAAAAAAAAGTAAACAAAAACAACAACAACTACAATAACAATGATAATAAATAACAAAAATAACAAATAATAAAGACAACAATGCATGTACAACAAGTCAACACTTTTTTTGTCCTACAAAGAATTATTCAATATAAAACAATTTAGATTTTCACATTTCTCCGCATACCAGTAATTAATTTGCATATTTTAAATATCATTAGAAAGAAAAAAAAGAAGAAAAAAATATGTCTCAATTTATTACTATTTCTTTTTCTAAAGTGCTTTTGAATCTAGTATTCAATTTGTATTATTTGTCTGTGCCTTTCTGTTATATTCGTATATATTATTTTTGTGATTGAAGACGTCTGAACTTGACTGTGAGCAAATTGCTATAAGCTAAGGAACAATAAACATGTGGAGAATAAGGTATTTTTATGTTTTAAAGTAGGATATGGCAACCCGATGCACATGACATTATCATGAACATTTTTAACACTTTTAAAGAACAATAAGGGCGTCCGTGGCCGAGTGGTTAAAGTCGTTGACTTCAAACCACTTGACCCTCACCGCTGTGGGTTCGAATCCCAACATGGATTCTTTTATGTGAGGAAGCTATCCAGCTAGCTTACGGAACGTCGGTGGTTCTATTCAGGTGCCCGTTCGTGCCTGAAATAGTGACAGTAAGCACACTGGCATAATTAATCTATGATTGTGAAAGTTTACGTATTTCATATCTTTCGATATTTGAAATAAGTTTTAAACATAATAATTATGAAAACACACTTATAATTTTTTGCAAAGTGATTCACAAGGTTTAAAAGGCTAAAAGCAAAATATTTTTTTAAGATAAATTTAATATTGTACGTGGTTAGATGGATTAAATCAGAACGCGAGAAATGTGTCACATTTCTGGAATAAATGCACCAATATACTGAACATTGACTGACCAAAAACATAAGTTATTTGTTTACTCTCAATGTAATACAAATGTAATTTAAAGGTCCATTTATCCTAGAAATTAATAATGTTTTTCTACTTAAGAAAGGACAAGCACGTCTTTAATACTACTCAAGTGACATCATGTTTTATATTTCGCTGCCGAGTTCAGCTGAATTAGAAGTTCAAATTAAAATTACTTTTATAATGTTTATAATGTTAATTGACTAGTAATGCATAAAGAAAATGTTAATAATAAAATATACAGAATACCTTAATTATAAAATACTGCCCGACTCTTTTTAAAAATTGAAGACAAGCGATACATTTCGAACGATATTTAAAGAATTTTCTGTGGGTCACGTGGTATAACTTGATTATTTTTGCATAGTTAAGTACAAAATTTAACACAATTACGGCAAAATGTAATTTTATTGAGAGATGTGCACTCACCATTTACGCTTTGATGGGCATGTTGTCACTTCAAATAATTTAGAGCATGCTTGACGATTTTCAACAGAAAAATCTGAGGCTGAATGGTTGTGAACATTTTTGTAATAAAGTAGAAGTAGTAATGAAAGTAGTATATTGACTTTCTCTCTAAATAAGTTAATACAACTTAACTTTTTTGGGATTAATGTCCTTTTATGTTTGCATTTATTTATTAGTTAACATTATGCTGCATAATTTTTGATTTCAACATAGCAGTTATTATGGCTTTTACTAAAATGTTCATGATAACTAATTTCATGCAATAATATCTTCCTTTTTTTGTCCATCAATACCGAAGCCACCAGAAAGAATACAAATTTAGAAAATAAGATAATACATACAATACTTGAGAGAACTTATAACTTGCATCGTTCAACCGGTACACGCATTCCCAATTACACTGTCAATAGAAGGGTATCCTCCGCTCGGATGAAAGGTCACCGGCCTAACGTAGGAATGCCGTTGACGCCTTGTCACCGTCACAATTATGCTGACTGGACCCGACACACTCGTTACTGAGGACACTGGACTGAAATTCTTTTATCGACGGATCTCGGTCTAAACTCTCATTGCTGATGAACAATTTCGCGTATGGAGACGCAATGTGAACGTTTAGACAGCACCAATTTGATTGAGAGAGAGAGAGAGAGTGTGTTTGTGGTGGAATTAATGTATGACGTGGTATGCATTTTCGGGGAGAAACGGAACTTGTAACTGTAGCAGGAAACCTTTGGGATATTACAATGTAATCATCAAGTCGCTTGTTGCTCCTTGTCCCCAACATGGCAACGCCCGTCCACACACTGCCAGGCACACTGAATGTGCTTCAGCAACAACACATGAACGTGATGGATGGGCTGTCAGGGTCACTAGCCCTATCCCACACTGGACACATGTGACATCATATTGGAGGTCGGGTCAGGCAGTGAGAAGACAAGCAGTGACATTTAAACTGTTTATGACTTTGAAAGAGCATCACGTGATGAATGGGATGGAATCCTGCGTATATGTTTGTCGGGCATACAAGACACTAACAAAACCGAAACACTTTTTCACCGACACTTAAAGTTTTGATCTCGGTGGAAATAGTTCCTGTTTGAATGATTGTGTTTGAATTGTAGGTTTGTAACTAATAAAATAATATTGTTTTGGTCAATCTTCTTCCGTCTACCTAACGGCGAGGACACTTGCATTAGGTTCGAGGAGATATTCCGAATAGTGGTACTAATCAGTTATACTCAAATTAAATGTACAAAAATATACATTTCTTGGATTCAGATCAACCATGTGTGTTGCATGGATTGCATACTATTTTGTGATATTATACGCGGATACAGAGACTAATGGAAAATTGATAAATGGATATAAGAACATAATTACAAGAAATTACTCTGTTATGATTTATAACGCTTACATTCTGTTCATTTCATTTGCTTCCGATATTTCCTGATACATGTAACTGTATTAGCAGCATGTTGTTCAAATGCAAGATGATAGCTTTAGTTGGAAAATTCGAAGTTCGACTCTCGGACCAGACATTTGAAATAATTTTAATGTATTTCTTCACAAATATGAATATTACTTCCAATGTAAATAGCCAGAAACTGTCCAGAAAAAAATGGCCGTATTTTAAATATAAAGAAATGAACATAAAAGTGATGTTTTAATAAAAGTAAGAAACTCAGGCTTCGCAATATTCAGCGCGTATTTTAGGAAAAAATGAGCTAAACTAAATGGTTTGCACGTATATGTTAGTCATAAGGCAGTGAAAATGGCAATCGTTTTACGTTCATAGTGTTTCTTACAATGATCAAACGATATTCATTCGTTGCTTCAAGTAGATATGTCAATTTTGTAGGCCCTAAAGGAAATAAAAACAAAATTGATTTTTACAACAACAAGTTTATTTATATATAGAACAGTAAAATTTGCTGATAATTATGTAGTCATATCAGTCATAGCAAAAATAATAATAGAAATGCAATGCTTATTCTTATAGGTGACTTTAAGGCTGAAATCTTTAAGTGGAGAAACTTACAGCATCTGAAAATTTTTATTGATGTACAATTTAATGTGTATATCTATTGTGACTTGTATCTGTAACAAATGTGCTGATTTCCACTAACATAAAACAATAATCAAATCACCTGCTAAATTCTTGTCAAATAATTATAAACTGATTCAAATGTGAAGTTTATAATATTAGAAAATACAAAAAACAGGCACTATAAAAGAATAGAATAAACATATTGTTCCGCTTTAACCTTAAGCATGGTGGGTTTCTTAATGGACTGACAGTTTCCGTTTATATACATTACATGTACCGTATCGATGTCGCTCAGAAATTAACTGCTTTGTGTTTTCTCATTAATAATTCAATGTTAAAAATATATTACTGTCATAACGTTTTTCAAAAGCATGACGAAAATTTTCAGTTCAAGCGAATATAAATGCGAATCTACTCATGAATATTTCAATCATGTTAAATTATATTTTCAAAAGTACTCGTTTATCAAATAACACTCAAAAGAAAAGCACTTATCTTTACAGTGCATATCAAGTCTAGCACTTGTTATCAATTTTAAACCTTTTACGCAATTCATGATCATTAGCTTTCATAGGAAGTACAAAATAGCTACAAAAGTTTAATATTTTATTTATATTTAAACCTACCTTAAATAAGGAACATTTAAATAATCTACAATATCATCCTTATGAAAAATGTTTTTCCTTTAATTTTTAGTAAGAAACAAATAGTACCATTCAGTTTGCAATCCACATAAGCAAAATGATTGTTTATACTTAAAATTACGAACTACGTATCAAAATTTATCCTACCCCACCCAATTTTACACGTGTTTGACTATTTTCCTACTCAGCCTAATTAAAACAATCCTAAAATTTATCACAAAGAGTGCATGTTTTCAAACTTTCCCTATCCTTTTTACAAAAGTATATTGAAAATCTTGTAAGATTTTTATTACTTTTACCGCCTAGTTCTTATTTTATTACACTTTGAAAATATCAGGAAACATTATATCAGGTACCATATTTGCTATAAGATTTAGCATCATTTAGCCAATAAATACCTATTTAATTAAATAATAACAAATAAGCACTTTGTTCTTCCCAAAAGGGACACGAGAGATACATGAATAATATTTAAAGATAGAAAAGAAAGAAAAAAAGTTGACCCTTCAGGAGTTTGAATCCACGGCCGCAAGTTTCAATGTAATTGACAGTAGTTCTAGACTAGATCAATACTCTTAAAAGACGGGTTGTGGATTAGGATGGTCATACGTTAAAATAAAGTCATCTTAAAATTTATATAACACAAACTAAGCAATATTTGACCATTAACTAACGTCATATTTATTTATAAAATAAAAAATTCTCTGGGGATATACACCGTTCGTAGTTTTATAATCACGCAATTAACCTTAGACCTTACCGATGAAAAATAAAAATCATATTTAAGTGAATTTTATCTGAGGAAACAGTTCAATAATTTCAAATGTGACATCAAATAAATAATACAAATTTTGATAACCTTGCAATTAACTTTAGACCTTACCGATGAAAAACAAATCATATTTAGGTGAATTTTATTTGAGGAAACAGTTCAATAATTTTAAACGTGTCATCAAATAAATAATACAGATTTTAATAACCAGCCAGTTACGTATTTTTTTCAGTTTGCAATTCTATCAGCGGTCAATATACATAACAGTCGTTAAAAGGTAATTTCCCAATGCTAATATTTTATTCTGCGATTTATTTTCAACCTCTCCATATTCGTAAAGTATTAAATAGGGAGAAAAACAAAATGCTGCATCCAAATAATTTGACACAGGTTGACTAGTGTTTGCAAATATGTTGATTATAACATAACGCTATCTGACATACTAAATATATAGTATATAATCGAGTTGAAGATATATTTAGCTCATGTACATATATATCATCATTCTAGTCATACATTTGAAATTTGTCTTCATTATGTAGTATTTGCATCTGTTATTAACATAACAATTAATTTCTGTCTGACAATTCTGCAAAGGAATCTGTATATACTGCAGTAAGTATATAACATATGTTGTATGAGCATGAAATTCTTTATGCAGTTTGTATTTCCTTGTACATAGAAGTTTATTCCAAGTTTAACTTAACACAACCCTATATACACAGTAAATATAAACCGTCAGTGGCACCTGTTTTGAACAAACAATTTCATTCAAAAGTCATCAAAAGCAATGTTGCAATAGAGTAGATTCTGTGTCTATGAAATAGTTATATCTTCTAGTACTTTCCTTTAAACAAGTAATATAATTATTAGGTTCAATATCTTATGGTTATGTTGCTTCGATGTGATATAAAATTATTGACTGTTTTATCTGCCTTTATCCATTTGGCATTATATGTACGTTTTTCATGTTAACGGCATTTTCTTTTACCCTCTATAGTTTTAAATATCGTTATTTAAATTAGACAATGTTCTATAGCATTTTCAGATGTAATCTGTCTTTATCCTAGTTTCGTCTTACCTTCATCACTGTTTTTCGAATTGATTGATGATAACCCCAACAAGTATACCAGTTAATACCGTTTGCATACGTAGAGTGATTTCCATACAAATAACGACCATTTAAATTGCTATAATGACAACCATTATACCACCACGCCCCTTCATACACTTGAGCACAATTATCTTCTTCATATTTGTCGTTATCCCTATCTTTTGTTGTGAACATATTTCCGTTTTGATAAGCGAAACTATCACCACAATTCCCAGAGAAGCCATTTATATGCAATCTAAAATTTGAACTTTCGTCGTCAATCCTAAAATGTTCATATGTTGCGGAAGCATTGGGCGGGAATCCTTTTTCAAAGGCTTCCATTTCAATTGCTAAGGAACTGTGGATTATTGAAAGTTCGTATATGTTTTCAAGGCCAAGCCAATACTCGCCCGATGCGTGTCCGAATCCTCGAATATAGTCCTCCCATGGTCTGTAGAAGTTTTCTCGACCATCCATGCGACGTTGTAAAACTGTCCAACCACCATTTGTCATATCGCACCATGTTTGTATACATGAACCGCCGACAGGCTTTATTGTATATATGCCGTCTTCATGCCAACCCTGTTCGTAAAGTTCTAGACAGTCTTTTGCTTCTGTAAATACAGTTCCATACTGAGAAATCATACACATAAATGTTTGCATACATGTATTTTTTTCTGTTACATCATATTTTGAGTACATTCTTCTCATGTGTTCAATGCCTAAATGAAGTTTAATCTTCAACATATTTCAATTGAGATAATAATCATCTGGTATTGATACTTTTATGAACAAAATTAAAAATGTTTAATACCAATTTATGATCTTTCAAGTCGAATATAACTGAGGCCACACTTATTGTGTAAGGTTCGTTACATAAATGTATTTTTCTTGCAACATTTGATGTAGGTGCCTTTTTGTAATTTACTTGAGATGTATAGTAAATACTTTTTCAGTTATTGCATAGATCAAAATAGGAATACAACTGAATTCCTGTATTGAGATACTATAAAACAAAAAATGAGATCTATCCTACTATGAAGTTTCATGTTGATATCTAAAAGGCTTTTTGAGTTATGCTCTGGACAAAACTTAGTTATGAAAAACAACAAAGGGCAGTAACTCAAAAATTATGCAGGGTAGAGTTATCTTTCTTAAGCACTGCACTCCTCCTCAATAAAGTCTATCCACCTATGAAGTTTCAAGTTGATACCTCAAATACTTTTTGAGATATGCCCCGGACAAAAATGTCGGACGGAAGGACGGACGGACGGAAGGACGGACGGAGACTATTTCTATATCCCCCGCCGCCATTCGGCGTGGGATAATAAGACATATTCTGAATCATTAAAAGTTTTTTAGATTTCAATAAATTTATGTAATTGGAATAGCTTATTCACGGATAAACATAATATATGTTAAATCTAACAACATTATTTTTTACGATGCGTGAGAATATTTTATATTTAGATAATTATGTAATATATTTATTATATTTATTTCTATTTCAGACTGGTAGATTTCACCCGTATAATACGATTCAAGGTTTTTGATTCGACAAACTTACTCTACAGCTTAATATGTACGAGTAAGATTAAAACATAATGTTTATTGCATAGATGTAAAATTATTTTTATTGATGACAAGTTCCTAATGTTTTGCATCATAATTAGCTTTCAAAAATAAAATAGTGAAAAAAAGAAAGACAAAGATACTTGACCGAAGAAAAACTGGTTCACTTGCATATGTTAGTCCTTACTCTTCATTCAAAAGTCATATAGATATATGTTAGCTTATCTTGTTATAATAACTCATGTTATAATAATTTCTAGTAGGGTTATTAATCTTGAAATAATTGAACACTTTAAGATATATGTGTTTCTAGACAAATCTGTCGTGTTTCTGGAAGTGAACTCAATTTCTAGCACCAACATGTAAGCAGTCGGTGAGGGAATTATTTTTAAAAATACTGAAATAATACTAGTATAATACTGATCTGAATACAAGAGAACTTGAATATCTGAGCAATTTAACTAAAAAGTAAAGGAACTATCATTTACCTTTTACTTTACAACTATTATTCACATTTTATTTCATAATGGCAAAAACTATTCATTACATTTCAGTTATCTTAGAATGACAGCAACTATCCTTACATTTTATTTTAGAATGACCAATGAGATTTCAATATTTTGTTTTGTAATTTTGTAAATGATCAATCAAAACTTTTCTTATATTTAGTTTTTTCCCTTATCAACAGTCGAAATGTTTTAAATTATTGAACATACCTATCATAGGGCGATGCGCAAGAACTGACCCAGGTTCTTGTTCATACTCAAATGTCCCGCAAACAAAATGCATGTAACACATTGAGAAACGTCTTTTATACACCATGGTATTTGCATGTCCGATATAGCCTTTAAAACGATTTAAACACTGCGTATAACTCGTATTTACCAGAGCCGTCACGGACTCGTATGTCCCTAGTCCTTGATTGAAAATAACTTGATGAGCGTATACATGTATATCTATATAAAGCAAAATGTGATAAAAATAAGTGCACAGGTATTTCAAAAAGTATTTTTTTCCGGACATTTTATCAAATTGTAAATTGCACACTTTCATTTAACACATATATTCTTGTATCGTTAATTTGCTGTCACCACAATTTAACTTGCTATGAAGAATGATATTAACCTAATCAGTCATACGAACATGTAATGCAATCGTTAGCAGCAGATACAAATAAATTATTTATCACTTCATATAATTATATGGCTGCCATGATCATGAAGCATGTAATCCTACATCGTTAACTCTATCGTAAATCATGTGACATTAATATTGTATCACTAATTATGATCTTTTACAGAAATATACTTGAACATAACTCTATCTACTGTATGAGTATCTAGCCTTAACTGATGTTCACTGAAATGAGACCATTAACTATTTCGTTTTTGTCTTAACGACTGTGTTATAAACATGTCATAATATAACATTCTGTCTTTTGGCATTTTATGTAAAAAACAAAATTGTAACATTTAAATCATTTATCTGTAACAGCTGTAGTAAAGATAATGATAGGTCATTAATATAAGCAAAGTTATATAGTAGAAGAACATGGCTACTTTGCCCCTACTTTATTTCTTGTGTACACACTAATGCATTTTAAATGAAAGGCATGTGCTATGCAATACATTATAGTATGATAAAGTATTATACATAATAGGTTTCAGAAATTTTGTTTTTGATTACGCAAGCCTTTCACGTATCACTGTGACCTTGGCCTAATGACCTCAAAATCAATGGAGATAATGAGCTAGTCATTACTAAATGCCACACCTAATTTTAGAACAGTAGGTCGAATAAATCTGAAGTGAAGTGTCAAAGACCAAATGGTAACATATGTATATCTTAAAATGAGATGAGCCAACCAGGAAGTGCTCTGAATTATGTTTGACTATATGTTTGATTTCTAGATAAATCTTATTTTTTGTTGTTGGTGTTACAGCTGTAGAAATCGGGAAATAATACTTCAGGTCAGGTTATCTATCTATCTATATATACGAATGTGTGACAGATCTTTTGTTATAGTTAAAGATGCCAACATGAGAACAAATATAATACACAATTATTGTTTGTTATTGTCACATTCGGCGACAAAGTTTTCGGGGTTCTTTCGTTTAACATTTTTAATGTAACCCTTTGATAATTGATCCACAATCTATTTAGAAATAAACATATTCAGGTTTATCTAGTTATTTCCTTATATTAGTACCAATCTTTCACTGTCAGTATATCTCATGGTAAACGATTAAGAACAATATAAAGAAAAGCATATAAAATGCAAAACAACCCATTATTCTCAATATTGTGCCAGCTAGAAAAAGAAGATGACTTAAATTTGGTACATGTTTGCAGGTTCATAATAGTTCCATTACTTTTCATTTACGTACTGATTACTATATTAAAGGTTTTATTGTCATGTAAGACAAAAAAGCAGATGATTATACAATTTGTCAGACATACTCCCCAAGATAAACATAATTTTTAAATTAACGTCAGCACAAAATATGATATATCTGCTTTGCAAGTACAAAAACATGTATGTTATGTTTTAATAAAATATGTAAGATTTTATCACCAACAAGACTTATCATGCATAGATATTGGCTTTAAATGGTTTCCATTAATAATTTAATACAACACGTAGTTAAAGCATTATCAAATAGAAAAGGTGTTTCAAATTGATTGAATGAGACAGGAAATGCTTTTTAGCGTATAACGTTTTGAATTAACCAATACTGGATGCATATGGCACATAATTGGAAAAAGGATTGTCCAAACGTTTATTGCTGTGTGTTTTTGTTTGAATAACAGAAGAACCTGTTAATTTTAAACCTTTTAAATAATATGCTTGCAAGTACTGTGCCCCTATTAATGGGAGAGTGACGCTGCATTTTTTTGCGTACACAGAAGTTTACAACCTTTGTCTAATATGTAAAACAAGGTTATTAAAACGAATATAATACAAGATATGAAAAAGAATTGAAACATCTCTATCGCAAATTTGGTAAATTCAAACTTAAATTTTGTTACGAGTTCGAGCCTCAAAAGTTGTCTATATTTTTTGCTTTTTTTAAATTTTACATTAGATGCAAATGAAGTGAAACATAAAGGTTGTTTTGTTTTAATATCTAATAATATAGATATAACGGTAATAATGATTTTTATCCTGTGTAGTATGTAGTATGTTGTACATTGCACGAGTATTTCGTGCCAACTTAACTATACTTGAAACAATTTGTGTACATGTATGCATTCCGTTTAGTGTCCAGTATAATGTTGCACCTACTTCCTAGATATGGCAACATTGAAAGCAAAAGAAAAAAAAGTGAAATGAGAATTTAATAGAAAAGAAAACACAACACAAGAGAAAATACAACATAATAATAATACTGAAATATTTTTTTGCGAAAAGAGTACAATCCGAACCTGGCTGTCATGCATTGATTATGTAAGTTAACTAGAACTTTACAAGACAAACTTACCTGCTGCGTCTAGCTGACAGTTTGTACATTTGTCGATATTTTAATTTATATGGCAAGCCTGTTTGACTTGAGATAATAAACACTTTTGTAATAACGGATTTACATCGTTATAGTGGACTTGACCACCGCATCACTAAGTAATTATCCTTAACGTAAAGCTAAAATTTGAATAAGTGATCTCCAGCATATATCGCCATGTTTTCTCATTGGATATTCTTTCAAAAATTTCCAAATACTACACATAACAGCTGTAAAACATAACTTTGGCCGAAAACCTTATTTAGTGACTCGCTTGATGAAAACAGTATCTACAAGAAGTATACCATTCAGCAGTCGTTGAAAAGGATTAGTATTATATTATTCATCTAGTAAGACATATCAAAGAAATGGAAATAGAAGCATATTTAGATCTTTAATGTCTCCATGACAACAAAATATATCATACTTAGTTCTACAATTGTATACAGGCTTGAAAATAAAAGAGATTGTTGTTGATGTAATTGTTATACTTTGAACACAATATTAGCACATTGTAAAGTTATTTTTTTTTACTGTAACCTATGCACCCACCGTTTACGCTTGGTTTGGCATAATGCCAATGTAGGTATCAACCGAAAGCAGATAATATGACTTGACAATAATTATACATAATTTCTGTCACACTTTTGTCGTAAAAAGGCGAATTTTAGGAAGGAAACCACGACATGTTCTGTCTACATACACTAGTATATAGTACTCTCAGCCGCACAAAAAGATGCCTACTTTTAGGTAGCCGATTATAATCCGCGATATTTTATGTTAACGTATACCTTGAACAAGTCGAGTTTGAGCATTGAGCTTTGTTTTTTTATGCCGGGAAATGACTCTGCGCAAAAAGTCGTGGCTGAAGATTGCAATTAGGCGCCATGATATTTTATGAGACCGTTGTTGAGGAACAAAGAGACGCGGCCTATAATTCTTTCCCCTCGTCTTTTTGTAATTTTTCTACAACACTTGCACATCAAGTCGCGTATTTATTTTTGTTCCTCGACTTTTAATAGACAAACGAGCAATAAAATGTAAAACTCAACCGGCCACTGGAGTCAAAATATTCCTTGCTGTTTTTCCACAACTGTTATTAAATGTCGAGGTTTATACGTTCCCCGCAAAATTTTGTCTCTTTCATAAGAATCCACATTAGCTACGCAATTTTGGTGACACATTTATAAGGAATTGATAAAATTACAAATGTGGTCATTATTCAATTTCAGACAATTTAATATCCTTTTGCATTTTATCTCTTTATCAAAAGATAGCTCAGTGCATTGTTTTGAAAATAATTGTTAATTTTCTTTAAAGACGAAAAATCTCTATTTTATTAATTGAATTAAGTGTTCTATTTAAACATCATTCCTTATGTAAGATAATCCAATACGAATATTTTATAAAAAAAGTAAAATATGTAATCAGACCATAGGATCCATAAACTATTATGCTAAAATGTTCCTAAAAACATGGTGATTATTGCAGTCATTAATCTTTATCATGAATATTGTTATTTTATCTGATGGATTAGGAATATTATATTTTCTAAGCTTAGTAATAAGAAGTATGAAACAAAACATAAATTGGTGTATTGTTTAATACTATAATAACGTGTCAAACATCTGTAGAATGAATGTATTTGCGCAGTGCCATCATTTTGTATGTATTTTATTCTGTATTCGTATGTGAAGCTCGAAACGACAAATCAATATAATTATGTGGATTAAAAAAAATGTTTTTTAAACACTTGTTACGTAATATACAGTACTACTTGTGGATCAACAGGTACAATTAAAAGGCATATTCGAAATCGCAATTTTCAAAAGTAAACAAAAGTATGAATACTGAAAAGAAAATAATTAAACAAATGCAATTGAACAACTCTTACCAACACAATTGTTGCTCTTTGGTAAACCTCTTTCGCTCGAGAAGCAAACACGTCAAACCACTTCAATAACTGGACCTGTTTTCTTGTAAAAAAAAATTGATTATTAGACCCGATACTTGAGTGGTAATTAGATTTTATTTCGTTATAATTGGGAAAATGTGAATGGCCTGTAAATACACCCTTTTGTGTAATAACAATATATTTGATGCAATTGCTAAGCATTCTAGACAAAACACACAATTGTATATAGAGTCTTTATTAAAATAAAAAAAGAATACATCAGACGAAAACATCAAACACCGGGCATAAAAAATAATGAACTTAATGCCAGGTACAAGGCACGTCTACGTAAACAAAAAATACGTAAAATGTGCATTTTTTCCGCCGCTATAAATTGTAAACAAGAATTGAACAATATTATTCCTTTCTTAAAATAATATCTAAATATCATCCGTGTAAAGTACATACATTGTTAAGTGATTGTTACTTTTCAATTCTGAGACGAACTTACCGTACCATTACCACTATATATATTACAAAACCCCAGGTAAAAGATACAGGAAATTACTTAAAGATGTATAAATATGCACTTTTGTCTAGCTGAAATGAAAGGCAAAAATGTACATTACAGCATAGGCATCGATTTCATCGTGTTATGCGAACTCAAGGTGCTCATTCGTTTATAGAATGTTTATTATTTAATAACCTTATATACCAATCATTGTTTGAAAAAGTATTTCTT